CATTTTCCCATTGATGTTAAACCCATGGATATTTAATGTTATTTTGGTTTTTGTGTTGGTTTCTCCATTTGTTTAATTCTATGCAGCATTGTCCCCACTGTGCCAGCACATCGGCCTATAAGAATCATGTATTCAATCGAATGCTTGCCAGATTTATGATTTCAGGGAGAGTGGATACAAACACAATCTTTACTAATCCTATATTCTATCCACTTATATTTATATTTGTGTCACAGGTTCAAATCCCACTGCAGTCAGCATGTCGTTGTGTCCCTGGGCAAGACACTTCACCCCAAATTGCTCCTGTGGGGATTGTCCATAGTATTGAGTATGTAAGTCGCTTTGGATAAAAGCGTCTAACAAGTGACATGTAATGTGAAAGAAATGCAAAAGGGATAGTGCCTCTCGAAGTGTACTGTAACATATGCCTCACTAACCACAATAAATGGAGTCACAAGATCTCAGGACACCTTTTTATGTTCACACACATACTTTTAAATGTACGTACTTGTGAGGACAATGGTTGTTAAAATGCATTTCGATGCATTTTCTAGCCCCAACCTTAACCATTTCAACGTAATGCTTAAACCCAACGTCACCCAAATGTGCTCATTTTATTCAGCAATTTATTTCACAGGAATGGTTTTATTTCAATGAAATCAGCATGTTGAGAGTTGAGTCTTTTCTTTGTAGCACACTCAGAGGAAAAGACGCTCCAAATCAACATCAGCACTGAGCTCCTTTCCCCAGGCGTTAGCATCAATAATGTGAAGCAGGAATAATTTGTTTTATATATGCTCCAAGACACAGCATTTTATTGTATATGAGTACAGAGTTTGTTTTAGAAAAATAATGTTTTTCCTGGTTTGTTGAGTAAGTGGTCGACTATGTATGCAGAGGCATGTGGTCATAATTTGTAGTTTTCAAAGAATGATAGAAGGAAAATCTATTTCAAAATAAATCAAATGTGTTGCTACTTTCCACACTGCATAATTCAGTTGACCTCTTTAAATTATTATTTCTACATTGCACATGGCATCAAAAATTCCAGATATACGATGGTTGATAAAGAAGAATTACATTGAGAATTAAATACAAAGAACAAGACACATAAGTCAGGTAGTCTATGATAACAGTATATTTATATTTACTATCATTCTTTAACCTTTAACGATTAAGGACTTCTGACCATTTTAGTTGAAGTCACATTATTTTGAAGTCACAAATAGTAATGAAGACATGCTTATTCGCGTGTTTCCTTACCATATTAATCTTTACCATATACTCCCATAAACCTGTGGAGCACAACACGGATGTTGTGTTGATGCAGCCCAACTGTGTCCTTGTTGAATGAGCTCATTTTAAATGCAACAGGGGGATTGTAAAATGGAAATGTGATTATTGTGTAATGTGTTTTTTATTAATTAATACATCATGTCTGTATACATATTGTCAAATTAGTTCACATTTTGTTGTGACACGAAAGTAAAAATGGCATATGCATGTGCATGAATTTAAAGCTATAGGAGTGAAACTTCCAGTAAGTCATCACTCCTTTAAAATAGTTTCTTCTGAATGTTTCCTGATGTACTCTGAAACAAGGTTAAATAATATCTTCTGTTTACAGTAAAGAGCAGAGTGGGTGATAGAGGGGAAACTGTCTCAGCTGGTCTCTGTGAACACAGGACATCTAGCATACCATCTCCCGTTGAGTAGTTGGATTGCAACACAGGGCGCATGCAGACCATCAGGCTGTGCATTCTTTAGCTGGTGGCTAATTTTCAGACAGTCCTCGACTTGGGTCTGGGTAAACAGCACCGCCCCGATGGTTGTTTGTTTAAAGTGTGGAACGATCCATCGCAGAGCGCCGGGCTCGATTGACACTGTCTGCTGATCTGCTACTGCGGATTGCTCAGAATAACAGGGCTGCTCGCTAATTCCCGTCTATCGGAGCTTTCGGCGAAACACCGAGAGAGTAGGGTCCAAAAAAAGCCAACAAGGCAGGCAAGAACCTCGCTCCGCCGGAGTCCGCACCCGAGAATGGCTTCAGGAGACCTTTACGAGGTAGGATAAAACCATGTCTATGGAAAATGCTTTGTAATATTGACGAAAAATGGAATTAGGAAGTAAAGGGGAGGGCGTCGCGCATGTAAAAAGCGGTGTGCTAAGCCCTTTAACAGGCGAAACTAACCCTTCTCATGCTTTGCGAAGATTATGTTGGTTAATTTATGCGTATACTTTGTGTCGCTTCTGATATACTTTGACATAATTATTCACGGCTGTAGTGAAGAGATAAGATGCCATTTACGGGCTGAACTCCTCAGTCTGTCGCCGAGTTGAAAGTCGTGGTAAAGTGACAGCGGCGCTGTGTGAACGGTCATGGTGAATAGCTACAGACGGAGTGATGGTTTTGAAGGTGCATACATGCCAAAAAGATATGTTGTCATCACAGCCTTTACAGCTGTGTGACTGTTTTGTTGGATGTTTGGCACATAATATGAGACACTAGTTTATTTGTGTATCGAGCAGTGTTAACAAGTATGTGTGAGCTCCTTTTGCAGTTGATGTGCGAATTTTTTTAAATAGTGACTCCGACAGTTTTGGGCGTAAAAGTTGCCCAAATGTGTAGTAGGAAGGTCACGCTGCCCTCGTGCGTAACATCACTCTGGAACCTGTGCCAGAATGTGCATGAAGCCTGGTTTCAACATCAGCTTCTCTGACTTACTGCCATTAGCCTTTGTCATGCTGACATGGTGTCATATGTTCACTTCATTGTGGTGACAGAGAGAGATGGGAGGGCTGCGATTGTCTGATGACTTCCAAGGACAAATGATATAGTTTGACAAAACAAGTTTTCTATGTTTTAAAGTAAAGATCACATTTCAAACACGCCACAAAAAAATTATATCTAAAAGGAACATGGGCATCCTCTCAGGGGTGTTCAAGCAGATAACACTACTCACAACACTGACATACAATATATGATGAGGCAGGACATCTGTTGAAGACAGTAGGCTATATGTGTGAATCAGTATGTGATTGCCTTTAAATAAACTGTTTTATTACAGTTGTCTCAGCTGACTGTCTATATCTATGTTTAGTTATTGTTGGAAGAGGATCCATGGACGTGCAGCAATGTGGAAAAAGTCCTTATTAAAACATCACCACCCAATTATGTTCATTTTTGTTGGCTATTATTTTATATGCTTTCATCTCACAACATGGATGTGTATTGTTTTTGGCTTTATTATGCTTCCTTTAACTGGGATAAGCTTCATGCAGTCAAACATACTAATACTGCGCTTTAAAACTTGTTTGCTTTGAGGAAAACATTCAGGTTATCTTCTGAATTCATAATTGCGTGAATTACATTAAGGCAATACTTGTCAATATTATACTTTTGTTTGTAAATCTAATTTCTACTTAGAAAATGCTTTACGTTTGTGGGCTCTTGGATTGGTGTAAGGCTACCTGTACTATTACCCAGTGTTAAATGGAAGTTGATTAATTTATCACTCTAAAACTGTGATTTTATCTTTGTCAGTGATCATTTGTTGACAGGCATTGAAATAGTTAGTTGAGTCTGTGGGTTGAACAGCTCCAATTGTAACAGTTGAGATGGACCAACATTGAGAAGCTAAGAAGAGTTTGCTGATGCCACTGATTAGCTTTAACTTATAAACAGTTGAAATATATAATATTAATATCAAAATATAAACAATTTCACCTAATGTTGATGTTTTCAAGTAATCATTTCAAATAGTTTGTGCATGCTGGTAGTGCCAGCACCAATGACTATAGCTAACAAGGTTTTGTAGAATCGGTTTGTTAGATGGAGCTGTAAGGAATCGTTTGAAAAGTGAAGGTTAGAAGATACATATTTTGTTGAGAAAATGTTGGGGAGTCAAGGATGTGAAGCCTTGACTGAAAGGCTTTGAGAAGAGCAAGCAGTGACCCCCATCAGTGAGTAATGCTAAGGACAAAGTTGAGTCGAATGTTATTTTCTGGTTTTATATTTAAAATAACGTGTGGCCAAGATCAGTCTGATTTTAATACTGTGCGCACCAGTTGTGCCCTGTCACTCTGATCCATTGTTTCATATACTGTGTAAACTAGGCCATCGTTCACTTTTTTACTGTGAAAAAGGGTAACAAGTTGTGTCTTACAGATATCATGACATCAAACCATCTGAGAAATAAGCATTTTTGCAAAATCACGGATAAAAGTAAAGCTTTCTGCCGGCTTTGTAAAGTCAAATGGATCGAGGCAGCTATTGTGGGCAATGGTAATTCTACAGTGTAGTTAAGAAACAACAGTTAATGGGGTCAGTTGCTGTTTACAGTTTCTCACTGCTCACCCTTTATTTAATAAGCACATTTACCACTTTAAGGGGCTGAAAATGAAATTCAGATCAAAGGGATTGCTTCCATAGGGTACTCACCATGACACTGGCTAACAGTAACACTGCTAACAGCCAGAACAATACAAACAACAGCTTATATGCTGACATAGCAAACAGTGCTAACCTGAGGTAAACGGGAGGTGTTATGCTTCCTAAACACTACAGGGGACAGGACAGTGCTATAAGCCAGAATACATCCCATCCAGAAACATCCCCATATGATATCAATGCTCTGAATGTCATATTACACCTCTAAGCATACATTAGAAGAACAAAATCTAGATTATCTATAGACTTACTGTTTATAAAGTGTATTGAATGTAAGGTTTTCCCTATCTTTTAAATATGTACTGATTATTTGTTTACTGCCAATATCTATACTATAAATATATTCACACAACTCTTACATTCCATTTAAATCCAACATTTTAAAATATATCTTGAAATATGGCTGTATACAAGATTGTATTTTCATTACTGAGTAAAAAAAGATTGAAAGAAATTGTATTCAATTTGTTCACTATTCTTCTCGATCATGGTTACAAACAGTCATTACATTTAGTGTAAAAGGCAGTGCTTCATGTTCCTTCATTGCACTCTGCAGCTTTGCTCAAATGTGCTTCTTCTTTAGCCATGCTGATGTTTGGTACAAATATCCATGGTACGCGCAGAGGATTAACCTTTCATTTTCCATTTACACGGGAACGTTTACGCACCGAATTCGTTTTCAAAAAAGTCTTCTGTTCACAGGGTGCCCGCGGGGTCTTAAAAAGTCTTAAATTTGATAATCAGAATTGAAGGCCTTAAAAGGGTCTTAAATATGATCAAAAAAATAAGAAAGGTCTTAAATATGATTTAGTAGGTCTTAAAAATGATCGGATTTGAAAGCTACTTCTTAGTTGCGATCGCGTCTAAATGTGTTTTGGGGGAAATGTCCGGGCTGCAAAGTAACCAGTACGGTAATAGCCTTTCAGTTCCCCCCAACAATTTGTATTGAAATAAATCAACATGGAACCAGTAATCATTAACTTTGTTTCCCCCGGCCCCTTATCGGAGAACACCCAGCTAGTAACCTAGCAACCAAGCTTCAGCTAGCGGCAGTCAGAAATTAGGTATCTTCGAATCAGTGGCGGTGCCAGGGTATGGCTGGGGTAGGCTACAGCCATACCAAGAAATGGCGTAGCCTCACCTTAGCCCCACCATAAAAAATGATGTTAAAGTAAGCTAAATAAAGTCCGCCAACTCGCGCAGAGTAAATTGCACAGACAACAGTTAGTAAGATTGATCTCAGTAGCCACTTGTTTGGAAATACCGAACAACAGAAACGGTTTTGAGAACTTTTGTCACATAGTGATCGTCTTCTCAATAAAACATCTTTGATAATGTCTTCTGGCCAATCAGAATCACGATAATGGCGTGTTGTTGTTGCAGGAAGTCCCGATGGAGAATACTTTTTGCTGTAGTACAACTCTATATACATCGATACAACATTACGTGTTGATAGAAATCAACACGTAATGAAATAAGACCCCACGGTTTGATGATTGATAGGTGTGTGGGCTGTCTTTAATTTTGACACACAGAACATTGGGGGCTATCCACCCATTATCGACAATGTAAAGTAATTCACACAGCCTCTTCCCTCTTCTCTCTGTGAGGAGCAGCAGGTTCAGCTTTCAGATTGTTCTGAAAGCTGAACCTGCTGCTCCTCACAGAGAGAAGAGGGAAGAGGCTGTGTGAATTACTTTACATTGTCGATAATGGGTGGATAGCCCCCAATGTTCTNGCCTCTGTGGCAGATGCCGGAAGTACTTGCCACTGCCTGCAGATGCCACGAAATGAGCCAGGCCCTACTGCTCAGAGATTCGCAAATCCCGACTCACTGTGCAAAACATAGCAGACTCGTGCGGACTCAGAGCCGTAACCGTATTGCAGCAGATCCAGAGATCCAGCAGACTCGTCGTCATGCATTAGTCAACAGCAGACTCAGATTCGCCAAATAACCCTTTTTTTATATCAACATTTTTTATTAAAGCAAAAGTGACTGCGTAGGTTTTCTTATCCGATCCCCGAAGGCATGTTTCCCAGGTCCAACAGCCACCTTCTTCTGCTTCTGTGTGGGACCACCTGACCCTGAACTTCCCATCCCCAGAACAGCGTAGCGGAGGTTAATGTAACGTTAGTTTAATATGCTTGTGAAATGCAACAACTATTCGGTTTCACCGGTAGGATTTCTACGCACTTGGTGATGCTGACTCATATGACTCAAAGGACTCGTATGATCCGGATCTCTTCAATGACTGACTCAGAAGACTCCGAGTCCGTAAAAGGATCCGGATTTGCCATCTCTAGCATAAAGCAGACTCTTCACGCTAACGAAGGATCACTTCTTCTTCAGGGTAGGGAAGGCTACGCAGTACGCAGGCTTCTTCTTCTGCTTCTGCGTGGGACCACCTGACCCTGAACTTCCCATCAGAACAGCTCCTGCTCTAACTCCAACAGCTGGGCCAAACGTCCTTTTTTTCTTTCGGGTCTCAGACCGAGCTCTGGAGTTAATGCACATTACTCACGAGACGTTGTAAAACAAAAAAAGGGGGGGGGGGCCGCCAGTTGATGGTGACTGCTCTAAAAGATACATGCTTATTCCAGCATTCTGGTCTTA